AATTTTAAATTTTTTCATTAAAATTTTTTACCCCTACCCCCTACCATCCCCCTACCCCCTCCACACCCCATCCCAAAAAAAAATTAACAAAATTTAAAAAAATTTCATTATTTTTTTCTAAAATACTCTTTTTAAAAAATTAGCACTCCACCCCCTACCAGCTCCCCCACACCCCTACCCCTTATCACCCCCCACCCCCCCTCCACACCCCATCCCCAAAAAAAATTAACAAACTTTTAATTTTTTTTAAAATACACTTTTAAAAAAATTACCACTCCACCACACACCCCTACCCCCTACCAGCCCCCCCTTCACACCCCATCCCAAAATTTTTTTAACAAATTTTAAATTTTTTCATCAATTTTTTTTAAAAATAATTTATTTTAAAAATTACCATCCCACCCCCTTACCAGCCCCCTCCCCCCCCTCCACACCCCATCAGAAGAAAAAATTACAAAATTTTAAATTTTTTTCAATAATTTTTTTTAAAATAAAAAAACATAAAAATATACCAACCCACCCCCTACTAGCCCCCTACCCCCTACCAACCCCCCACCCCCCTATCCCAAAAAAATGTAAAAAAAAGTTTCATAGATTTTTTTTTTTTTGAAAAAAGACTTTCTTACTATCCCTCTCTTTATCACTTTTTTGTTTGTTTGTGTGAATGCACATCTTTTACCCATTTTATCTATTTAACTATCCACTTTTAAATGGGTAATATGGGTATTACTCGTTACGTTTTTACCCATTTTTAAATGAGTTGGATACCCAATCCATTTAAAATGGATAAATATGAGTGGATACCCATATTAATTACCCATTCTGCCACCCCTAGTCATAACTGTAAACTCATCCAAAATATTTTTATTTAGACACTTATGATGATTACAAGGACATCTTAACTTCTCACCATCCATGCGCTGTGGATGTCTTTTAGCAAATGCAACAAAGTTCTCAACTCCATCAATAAACTTTGGATTTATGAATCCATCTTCCAGTATTCTAACATACATCCACCCACGATCAGAGCTACTCGTATTATATGCTCATACACAAATAATAAATGTGTTAAAACTTACATGATGACTACTAATATTTATATGACACTAGAAACTAGAGGTAGCAAAATCTAATGAATTCAAATTCATGAACAATCAGTTAATCACCAAAAGTTATATTAGTTAGTGTTATACAATTTAAATGTACACTAGAAATAGTGTATTATTTTATTTTAAATAATACTGCATGTCAACGTGATCATGTAAAAACAGATATGCCAAAGATGTATTCAATTAATAAGCTTCATTCTACTCGTACGACACCAATATTTTTTTTAGTGATTTAATTACTAAGAACAAGAAACTAACCTTTAGCAAATGTGATAATACGTTTTGTATCCTACTTGGGCACATAAAATAAATGCTTTAAGATGTAAATTATCCTCTCACCTAACTTAAGCAATGATAGAAACACCAATGTAGAAATCTTCTAGTAGCCAATAGACATACACGAACTACCTGAAAAAGTTTATAGAACAAAAGAGAATGAGATGAGAAGTGATGTAAAAGAGATTACTTTCTAATAAATTAAAAGCACAAGTTGACGAAAATTCTTTTTTCTCTTTAGATTACACATAATTACATTGTTCTTTAAGAACAAACAAAAAAATAGGTGTTTAGTCATTAACAGAGTGACATTTGAAAACAAAAAATAATATTCATGAAGTTGAAAAATTGTATTGAAAATTAAAATTGTGTTTGAACATGCATTTGACTTGAAAAAAAAGAAGTTGAAGTTTTGTAAGTGAGTGAAAAAATTTCAGTTCTTCGAATTTGAAACATTCACCTTCAAAAACCAACCAAAAATCATTCCAATCTATAACCAAAAATATTTTTTGAAAAAAGTTTGTTACCTAACAGGGCCTAATAAATGCAACAAGAGAATGCAATTCATCAAAATTGAAGGCCAACCATACATATGAACCTTAGATCAACATTGACAATTCCAAATTTGTTTACAGTCCAAGAAAAACATAAAAAATATAAAAATATTGGAAGAACAACAACACTATAGAGAAGATACCAATCATCAAAAAAGTTGTGAATTTTAGCACATCAATGACAAAATATAATTGCAACATGCCTTCACTAAAGCTTGTTGTATGTGTAAATCTTATCCAATATACATTAGAAGAGCGAAAATTTACGGTAACCCATATGAATACAACACACATAAATAAAACTTAAAACTTACACCCAAATCAGTTAGGTAAAGGATCCAATTTAATAATTTGATGAATACCCATAAAAAAAAGCTATATAATAGTGAAGAGTATAATGGACCCAATATCAAAAACTAAAAATTATTCACTTTATAACATCTATTCAAGAAAAATGGGGACAAATCTCAGCAAGAGTATAAAGAATCAAAAAATTGTTCATCGTAGATAAAATAAAAAGAAAAGATTCACACCTATGAGCAATATAGCAACGAATCAAAGATTAGATGAGTTCAAAATCACAACTACAGTGTTGAAAGAGTGAGAGGTAGAAGAAAGGAAGAAGAACACCCATTGTAGTTCTCTGACTTCTCTCTAGAACCCTAATTTTCTAATGAAATAAAGGAGTTAAAAGGTGGGAAAACTAAAAGTGCTGAAAATTTTGGGGCAAAGTTAAAAGGTCATCTAACATATTTTAAAATTTTCGCAGAAAAAATAGTTCATTAAGTTAAAGATTATAATTTATTGTCTTTTTATTAAATTGAGACGGAATGTAAATCCATCATAAATTTTGTGATGAATTTGTGACAACATATATTCATTTATTTTTATTTGCTATAATTTTGTGACGGAAATGTTCTGTCACAAAACTTATATTAAATATTTGTTACAAATATGTCACAAATCCGTCACTATCAAAATTTTAGTAGGTAAAAAAAATTCTTTAAATTTTTTTTATTTAGACAAGATTTAATCTGTCTCAAATCCATCAAAATTTCGTGACAATTTGTGACAGACTTCTCCGTTACAAATATTCCAAAAAATCCCAAGATTTATTAGTTTGGTTTGATTTAGCAATTTAAATATTCGACACAAATAGTTTGGTTTGATATTTGAAAAAATTGAACCAACCCGAAAAAATCCGAGGTTGAAAAACTCGAATAAAACATAAGTTTTATAAGTTTGGTTTGATTTATAAATTTAAAAATTTAAACAAATAATTTGGTTTGATATTTGAAAAATCTCAACCAACCTGATCATGCACACCCTAATTAATGGAATAAGAGATCATAAGTTCAAGATAAATTATTGATTACCTTAATTCTTATCATATGTTTTGATATAACTTTAATTTTTTTGGAACTATTTTTAGAATAATTGTTATATTATTTTCACACCACTTTATGTGTCGATCTCGTGATAAAATAACAAAATGATCCATTTGTCCTTCTCCAAAGCTTTTATCTCAAATTCTTTTCTAAAAGAAACAGTAGGTACGTTTACACAAGAGTTGTTGTGTAAACTCTTTAGGGCATAAATTCACCCGTGGAGTTTATTTGCATCGATCAATCAAATAAATGCTAGAATTTTCTTATCAACCAAGTTATTCGAAGATTTATCTTATTCTAGAAGAGAAATTTGATTTTATTCACTTGCACACTCATTTTTATTTGAATAAATATTCAAATAAAAAAAAGAGACTCCCTCTTAAACTTATCTAAAGTTAAAAAATTATACCAGCTATATATACTAACTTCTACTTTTGTATTGGTTTTAATAAGCAAATATCGCAAATAAGAGTGACACACTGTAATTTTTTATTTTTTTTTATAATTATAAGTCAACTATATTTAGATTATGCCAGATTGAAAATTAGATATGATTTTGCTTATGATTGTTAATTACAATCAACGAAGAATAATATTATGTTTTAGCGATTTAGGTTAAATAAAGCATAAAGTTCTTATGTACTTTTCACAAGCTGAAAGCCTCAATATTGTAACTTAATCTGAACAAATTGTTTAATTACTCATTGATCAAATGGCTGCTTATTTTTCATGAATTTATTAATCACATTTAATTTTATCTGAATAATTAGATTGTACAGACACTCTGATGTACTCATCACCCTATTGAATTTTTTTTGTTTTACATCTTGCAAAATTATATATTAGCATCAAATTTAACTACAAGAGAAATATAATAGCATTTGGAAGGTCGTAAATGTCCATTAACATCTTATTCTATTTATTTATTTATTTATTTATTATAAGCATGAATGAGTACTCATTTAATAGAATTTCATTAAAATAAGACCCTACTTTGAATATTCATTCATAGAGTTTAGTCAAAAAGTTGTAAATTGTTTACTGCCATAAACTTAGCTTGTAAATTTTTTTGTTTTAGTTTAAAAGGTAATTTAGTGTAATATAATTTGAAGGCTATTTTTGTAATTCAACTAATGAAGCCGTTAGTATCTTGATTTTTTTCTTAAAATGGAAAAAAATTGTCCTACTAGATTATTGTACCTTGCATTTCATTCTTGACCAAAACAAAGCAAATAGAATATCAATAACAAATAATTAACAATCGTACCTTGCAATTTTTAGCATATAAGGGATATATGTCAACCAACATGTGAGTAGAGAAGTGGAAGTCAGATGTCCCACAAAATGTAAAAGATAGAAAAATATCCAAATTATCATCCATCAACGTGAAAGGCAAAATTAAATCATTGATAATACAATCCATAAATAACTCTTTGTACAATAGATTATTATTGTATTCCTATAAATAAAAATAAAAGTGGGACTCGGAGATTTCTTCAAATACTAGTAAATATGAGACTTCAAGGTTAAAACATAAAACATTAAGGGTGAAAAAGATATTACAGAAACTATTAGAGAGGTGGCAGGGCAATATGTTGAATTAGTAGATGAAAAAAACGTGATACTTAAAAACAGAATTTCCCACCAAAAGTTGCAGTGAGCTTCAATTTGAGATGAGCACTCCAACTGATCAGAAAGAAGTTATGGAGAAAGGAGAAGCCTCCACTGATCAGAAAGAAGTTATTATGGAGAAAGGAGAAGCCTCCACTGATCAGAAATACAACGATTGGATTGCAAAAGTCGATGACATGGTGGAATGGCTCTACGATTATTGCGACACGCATTTCCGGCCAACTTTAGAAGAGAAAATCGCTGATATGGAGTACCAAATCGGTATGTGTATCCACGCCCTCGATTCAATTCCTCAAGGTAAATTTCTTTTATGGATTATCCAGAAAAAAAAAAAAAAGCATTCAATTCAATTTCTCAAGTAATCATGAGAATGAGTTTAATTGGTACAAATTCGTGTAGAAAAGAGGCAATCGGAATTTGAAAGTGCAGTGTTTGAGCTTACAAAAGGAAGATTGTATAATTCAATTCCTGGTTGTTACAAGGAGGAGGCAGAGCATCATCTAGTGAATGCTGTGAGTGGAAGCAGAATTACATGGTTTGAACTTGCGCGTTTGGTTTCCTTCTTACTGTTAATTTTATCTTCCAGACTAATTTGGTACCGTATCTGCTGGACGCTTGGGTTTCCCTCGGCATCTGCTTTGCCAAGAAAAGAGATTACCCTAGAGCTAAACACTACTATCAGTTTGTCCTTACAGTGGTAATTTCGATGCTTCTTCGGTTCTTAAATTATCCGTTCTCTAAACTTTAAACATTACCTTTATTTGATAGATTATTCATTTTTTATCTGATTTAGAAAGAAGACAGCATGGTTTTACGGCAACTTGCAGACCTTGAACTGCTGTATGCACGGGGTGAATTTAGTCCATATGGTGCGATGCTTTTGATTTTTTTTTATTTTTTTTCGTAATTTACTTTTCTCCAAGGAGAATCTCAAGTATATTCATTTTTTTTTCTTAGTGGTTGTTGTTGATCTGTTCATCTGATTGCATATCCATTTCACAGTTGCTGATAATCCACCACATCATATTGACGAATGCATCAAATATGCCCAAAGGGCATTCGCTCTGGATGACACGGATGGATCTTGTTTATGTAAGACTGAGAACTGAATCTAGTTAGTCACTCTCAGCTTTGTCAATTTTCCAAATGTCTTACTTAGTGTTCATCAATGATTGAGTTCACCCGTCCCTTATTGTATAGCTATAGTTAGAAGTAGCATATGATTACGTTAAAGACAGATTAGGTGCAGAAATTACACATTTTGGTACATGGAACCATGACATAGCATATACGCAGTAGGTAGAATTTTATTAAGTGTATGCTATACTTATGAAAATGTTCTAGTATATCTGCAGTAACAAACATTATGATAAATCCAATTTTCAAGTACTTCACGGAGCTTTTTTATCTGGTTGTAGATATCTTAGGAAGTGCATATTTCTCTTCCTTTATTCTGGATGGAGGATGGAATCACGATAATACTCTAAGGTCATTAGAAGCTTATGAAAAAGCTGTAAGTAATTCTTACAATCTTGTCTCTGTATATTTATTTCCCTTTATTTTAACATGAAATTAGATATACAGTATTAGCTCCCTGTGAGTCTGGCAGGCCTTGTTTTTTTATATACTTGGAAGTTTCTTCTGATACTCTACCCCGTTTCAGGAGAAAACTCATGAAATGAAGTCAAACCCTGAGCTTCAATATGATTGTGGCATTGTAAGTTTATGAAGAAAAACACTGCTTTTTACTGATAAACTGTTCTATCATATAGGATTTTTCTAAACACAAGGTTCTCAATTGTTGCTAACTATAGCCTCATATTTTTATGATTTGTTATTAAAGAATCAGAGTTAGGAAAGCTAAGACAAGAGACCTTGTATCAAGTTGTACATTATGCAGCAAGGAAGGGATATGTTTGCAACTCTATGTTTTTTCTAATTTTATTATTCACTTTTACACCGACTTCTTGTGTGAATCACAGATAGACCTTCATTCATCATCTTAAAGGTTGCAGAGAATGGCTCAAAATAAGTGTGGCTGTATCAGAATTTGAGAATCGTTAGGATTTATGTTGATATATAAAGATCCAAAGGAATGAAATCACTCAAGAAGAAGACACTGGAAACTTAAGAGATAAGACAAAAGTCGGTAAAATAAAGGAAAAACACATAATGTGAAATAGAAGAATTCTTTGTAAAATAGGAGATACTTTCACAGGATGTACTAAAGGAAGCATAGGTAACTTCACAGAGAAAAACAAAGTTGTACGTGAAAACAGAATCTTATAATTACTCATTGAATTAATTACCTTTTTCTAGTAGTTAAGAATCATGTCTCCTGGAGAGAAAAGATCCCTTTAATAAAGATCAGTAAAATGAGTATTACAAGATATGCAGATATCAGTGACATGTTGATTGTGTTTGGTACGAAATAATCTATCTAGAAGAACACATGTGTAAATAGGGAAGTACAACTTTGAATTAGAAAGACGTCTGGTTAAAAAGAACTGGTTCAGCAGTGTCTGCCAGACTATGTGAAAGCTTTTTTTCTGTGCTTATTCTTGTCCAACTTTTTCAAGCTCGAAAGTTCATATGCTTAGTGAAGAAAGAACCAAAAATCTCTAAAATAAGGTCACCTTTATTCATTTCACATTTTATGTTTGCATATATCATGATATCTTAAATATAGTCTTCACTTTCCGCTTTTTTAAAATTCAATGCCATGCTGAAAATATGTGATATTTGTATATTCAGGTGAATAGATTTCTGGAGAACTACAACAAGTCCCTCATTTGTTTATCAGATGCTGCAATAACGGATCCTTCTCTTGATGTGTTACATCAACTGAAAATGACGGTCCAGCTTCTTGACAAATTAGAAGGATTAGTTCAGGTAAGATTATTTGATTGTGGTTATTTTATATAAAGGATCTGTAAGTGATATTCTGATCAGTTGCATTAGGAACGGCATGGTTGACGACATTAGAAATTTAGAATCATAAGGGAATTCTGTGTGATCAAAGGTGCATTGTTTCCAGTTATATTCAAAGTGCAGGCCAGTGATAACTATTTACAAGAGGTATTCAAGGAGTCACCCTCCTTGCTATTGCACATCTAACTTGTCAAACTCCCAACGTGACATAGTGCAGTGCTTTGATGTGATCACATTTACCTGTTTAAACACTGATTTCATCATCAGAGTTACCAGGGAATGCTTTCTGTTTCCTGATTTAACATAATGTATGATGAGATAGTCCTTTAAGATGGCTTCTGAGATAACCAGTCAATATGTACAAAATTTTACACTGACAACCTTTGGGCAACAAGTACTAATAATAGCTAGGGGGACAGACGTAATATAAAATTTGATTTTATGGTATGACAGGAAAACACCAAAAAATAGTCATGCTTTTCAATGATTTCTAAAATTGACTTAATGTGTAGGTTTGAGGCACAGTTGATTGAATGATTTTTGGGAATATTTCTAAACAAATAGAGGCTAGGAAACTGCAATAGGAAGCTATAATTATGTGGAATTAAGAGTTATTTGGATAGGAATATTCAAGTTGGGTGTCTAAGTTAGTAATTCAATTTGTATCTTTCTGCTAAATAGATAGAGTGATCAACTTGGTAACTCTACTGTGGCTGCCCCAGAAAGCTTGGTTCAGTTTCTCCTACTTTTGAAGAATTTTCTTCTGAGTCCTTTTCACTTACTACTACATAAAAATAAGTTTAACAAAGAGAAAAGGAAAACATATCACCACATACAAATAGTTGCAGAAGGTCTCAATGCACAATAAAGGTATCGATTTGGAGAAAAGCTTAACCATCTAGCTTAAGACATATCTAGAAGAAAAGTAGATGAGGTAATTACCATTTCATGTGCCCTTAAATTGTCCAACGAGTTGAGTGAGCAGCAGCATAGCCCTGTATTGACTGAATAGTGCGTGGGGTAACATTTTAGTTGTTTCTTCTGCTTTCATTTCTTGATTTTTTTTCAAGAAACAGGAAAGTTATGATACAGTCTTCTAAAAAATAATGCCTTAGATTCTTAGTTTTTAAATGTCTTCTTCTTTTGAGCCGTTAAGACATCATGAATGAGATTGTGAAGGATGCATTTGAATAATGTGATCCTGCTTTTCAGGGTAAGAGTAATGACAAGAGTAAGGGGAAGATTAAGGGAAAGAGTAAAGGAAAGAGTAAGGGGAAGAGTAAGGGAAAGAGTACGGAAACGAGCTTATCTTCCCTGATCCAGTCACTTGATACTATTGATTGTAAGGCTTTACATTATTCTTGATTTAACTGTAAACATTGATTTATCTATTTAGTTGAGTTAATGTACTTTCTCGCAGTGAATCCTTCATACAACAGAGCAACTTTGGATGTCTTAGCTGAAGGCCCTAACAAAGGGCTTGCAGTTATAGGAGCAGTCCGGTGCTTGGTTAAGTATGAGTATAGCACTCCATTGTAAGTAACTTCATCTTGGAGGAACCCACATGAGTTGATCATTTTCAGCATTTCTTTTAAAAGTGGAAATTGGAAAGTGGAAAGTGACAAGGCTGAGCAGCCCTACTTAATGCTTAAATACTTATTTCTCAGTGTGCCTTATTCTACAGATACCATGTGCTCTGTGACTCCAATGAGAATAGTTTTGTACTTACAGTGTTTGGCATACAGAAGGAAGCGGTAAGCACCATTTTATGTTGTTTTAATGTTTCTTGGAAATCAACAGATAAATTTATCTATCAGTTTGCTGATATACTGTTGCAGCAGCAACATGCCTAAAAAATAAGAGAAGGATTTTCCTCCCTTTTGCCACTTCCTAGATGAAATATTAGATTAAAGGGAACCTCACTTTTTTTTAATATGTAATTAACACTAGAGATAAAAAGAGAGAATACTAAAGTGAGTTAACATTTCAAAATATTTCTGTAAATTTGGAATAGTATGTTCCTATACTATACTATCGAACACCATTTTTATCTTAATTCTCTTATTCATCCATCCTTCAAGAATAAAATATTACATTTGCCACTTAAATAAATCATAAGTGAGCGTGAATATCATCTCCTTATATATGTATCTAATGGTGATCATCTCATTCATAATCTGATTTTGGTTTGTGCCAGCCCCACCCAATTATTATCTAGTCTAGTGAATAAGTGTCACATCTTTGAATAGTTATCCTACTTGAGATTGTTGTGGTGACATATAGCCTACCATATTCCTATACTAAAATGGAATAAGAAGATGAAAATAGCATAAATAAATCTTTTCTAGGGAAGGCATGGTCTAAGAAAAGTTGATTCTGGAAGGACAAAAAGAAAAATGACACAAGAACTATGAGTCATGACAATACTGGTTAACATCAACTCATCATAGAGTGATTTGCTGATATTTAGTTGCTGTAAGTATTGCCTATCCAGCTCCCATTCGATTTTCACATCATTACTTAACGAACTACTCTTGTTGACAGATTAAACAAGGAGATCAGGTCACACTATTGGAGCCCTTTTGCAAATTTGTTGATTTTGAATGGGAGGGAAAGGTAACCTCGTTATCATCTGTGGTATTGCATTTTCAATGCTATTCCAAATATGTCTTATTGCTTTCTCTATCAGTTTTCTGTGAAAATCACATATTAGATGTGTTATATCCCGTCATTTTGTCTGTCAACTCCACCTTATAACATCTCAGGGCATGGTGCACTTGAGCCACTAGCAATGATAATTTGATTTCTTGATTGCAACTGTTTGGAAGCAGAGGGAAAATGGAGTCATTTCTTGCATTTTCTGAATTAAGTAACATTAACAAGTTTCCAAATGACTATTTTTGGCATGTAAGGAATTGGTTACCTATGGTTTAGTGGTAGAAGAATAATAATCACATTAACTGTTTGATTTACAATATTCTGTCAGCCCAGTTTTGCCACTCCTCACTAATAATTGTTATTTTTACTGCAGCACTATCAATTCACATCTGTGCGAGTTAATCTTGTGGAACAGGTCCTTGTAAATGGAAATGCTCTATCTCCTAGTTTTGCTATACGTCAACCATTACGATTATACGCATAACCTTCTGTCAATGTCTGTAAGATACCAACATTAATAAGTGGGATTCTTCATATACTTAACTAGGCAAAATACTCAAATGCTTGTTTACTACATGTGGCAACTTGATATGAGATTAACTCTACTGCCTTATATTCATCTTCATTTGCAAAATTTAGCTTTTCTGCAATACTTGTGAGAGTAACTCGTACATTAGTTCTTCCATGAAATAACATCTCTCTCAATAAAAGGAGCTACCTATGTGACCGTCCAGCAACACGTCACTTATTTTTATAAACAAACTAGTTCTGAAAACGTGGATTGCGCATTTATTTTACGATACTTAATATAAATTTTATATTAAAAATGACGACAATTTTAAATGATATATATTATTGAACTTTCTTTGTGCTATAAATAAAAAGCAATTATACAAAAAAGAAAAAGAAAAAAAACTTGTAAGTTGCACAATATAGGTAGCAAAAAATCACATGATAAAATAAAAATTGGAAAGAAATATGAAGAAGAAAATGAGGAAGTAGCTAGCAGTAGTCGGCAAGGCATTCCTCGATAAAAAATACAATACATATATTTGTTAGTTCTTATAATAAGAAATATTGACTATTGTAACAAAAAATTAATACAAGTCTTATTTATAATTGTGCACCTTTTCTAATACATAATATTATTTTTTCTTTTGGAGTAATCATATACAATGCTTAATAGTATCTAATTACTCTTAAACTCAACAACTTATACTATAAAAAATGTATGCGACCAAGCACCAAGAATTTTTTTTTAATTAATACATAGGAGTATTATTTAATCATATAACAAAAAAGCTCTTGCCAAAAGAATTACCTCAATTGCAATAGAAAAGCTCCCAAGATTCTATGTCAATCTCAATTGCCTCTTTAGGCAAAAGCCTTGAACGAAGTTTAACAACATATCACCGATTTTTATTATTTTTCACCAAGACGACAAATAAAGTGGTTCGAATAAAATAGAGTGTAATTTTTATTCTTTTAAACAAGCAAGTCAGTGTATTAAAATCTTAGTAATTAGCTAGGTCAAATATAAAGCTACAAGTAGACACTTAAACTTGTATAAAGTTGAATATATAAACGCATGTCGTTCAACATGGCATCCTACATGACAATTTGTGTCCTACGTGGTGTCCTACATGTATTATGTCACGTAGGACTCATGTATCTACTTGTTAAATTTTATACAAGTTAAAGTATCTACTTGTGCACACCCAAAGTTTGAGGACGTAAATGTAAAACGAGACCAAGTTAAATGGCACATATATATATATTATGCATTTATTTTTCTATGTATGACCCCATATATAAAATTGTGTTAATGCGATCAATTGTCTTGCATACTGTAACAGACAAAATGAATAGTGAACACTGCTTAAGTTGGTAACACATTGCCCACATATTTAATAAGAATTTTAAAATATTTTGGTTTATAGATATTTGTATAGTTATAAATCATTTGATTAACAGGTATTTTGAAGTTAAATTATTACTAATATAGAAATGCATTGTTTTTTTAAAAAAACTGATTAAAAAGGAAAGTGAGTCATTAGTAGATATGAATTATAAGCTTAATACAATAGGGGTGAAAAAGAAGTAACAAAAACTATTCGGGGGTGGCAGGGTAATTTTCTTAAATATAGTAGATGAACAAAAACGTGATACTAACAGAATTTCCCTCCCAAACTTCAGACTTGCAGTTTGCATCAAGAAATTTCTATGGCGAAAGGAGAATCTTCCACTAATCAGAAAGCTGATTGGATTGAAAATGTTGAAGCAAAGGTGCAATGGCTATATGATTATTGGCAGACGCACTTCCCGGGAACCAAGGAAGACAAAATGCTTGATATGGAGTATGCAATCAGTACCTGTGTCGTCGACATATATGCAATAATTCCTGAAGGTAAATTTCTTTTATGGATTATCCAGAAAAAAAAAATGCATTCAATTCAATTTCTAAACTACTCATGACAATGAGTTTAACCGGTACAAATTTGTGTAGAAAACCTGCAATTGAATTATGAGCGTGCAGTGTTCGAGTATCTAAGAGGAAGCGCGCATAATGCTATTCCTGGGGTTTATAGCAAGAAAGCGGAGGATCATCTAAAGAATGCTGTGAGTGAAAGCACAATTACATTGTTTGAATTTAGGTTTGGTTTCTTTCTGACGGTTAATTTTATGTAGACTAAATTCAATCCTGATTTGCTGGTTGCTTGGAATGCCCTCGGTGACTGCGTTGCTAAGAAAGGAGATTACTCTACAGCTAGAAATTGCTTTCTCTTTGTCCTTGGGAAGGTTATTTCGCTGCTGTTCTAGATTTTCGGTTCTCTAAATTTGAACGTTACCTGATAGATACTTCATCTTTTATTTGATTTAGAAAGAAGACGCCAGGACTTTACGTCATCTTGCATACCTTGAATTGATGTGTGCACGGGGTGAATTGGAGCCATATGGTGCAATTTTTGTCTTTTTTCTCCTTAATTTACAATTCTCCAGGGAGAATCTCAAGTATATTCACTTTATTTGTTTGTGGTTGTTATTGATCTGCTTATCTGATTGCATATACCTTTCACAGTTCCGGAAGATCTTGAACATGATAAACCTTTCACAGTTCCGGAAGATCCTCAACATCATATTGAAGAATGTATCAAATATGCAGAAAAGGCAATCAAACTGAAAGACGCCGAAGGATGTCGTTGTTACTGTAAGACTTAGGAACTGCTTTGATCGCTCTAAGCTTTGCCAAATGTTTTGCTTGATGTTTGTCTACTTCCTCAGTCTTATTATAGTTACATGGTTGATAGATGAATTAGGAAGTGCATATCTTACTTCCTTTATCCTGGATGGAAGATGGAATGACCATGCTATTCTAATGTCATTAGAAGCATTCGAAAAAGCTGTAAGTAGTTCTGACAATCTTGTCTCTGTACATAGTTTTCCTTTATTTTAACATTAAACTTAGATGTACAGTATTAGCTCCCTGTAAGCCTGGCTGGTTTGTTCTTTTAAATATTTGGGAGTTTCTTCTGATTTTCTACCCCATTTCAGGAAAGAATTGATACAATAAAGTCAGAGCCAGATTTTCAATGCGAGTGTGGCCTAGTAAGTTTTTGAAGAAAAATATTGGGTTTTTACTGATGAACTATTCTATCATATGGGATTTTCAATGCGATTGTGGCTTCGATTCTTGCTAATTATAGCCTCATATTTTCATGATTGTGCTATTGAAGAATTGGAGGAAAAAAAGACAAGAGACCATGTATCAAGTTTGCAACTCTGTTTTTCTAATTTTATTTTTTGCTTGGGTCTCTCAGAATTTGAGAATCATTAGGATCTTTGTTGATATGTAAAGATCCAAAGGAATGAAACCACTCAAGAAGAAGACACTGGTAACTTTACAGATAAGACAAAAGTCGGTAAACTAAATGAAAAAGACATGATTTGAAATAGAAGAATTCTTTGTAAAATAGGAGATACTTACACAGGATGTACTTAAAGGAAGCACAGGAAATTTTACAGGTAATTTCTCATTGAATTAGTTACCTTTTTCTAGGAGTTAAGAATCACGTCTATGTTTTCCGGAGAGAAAAAATCAGTAAATGAATATTACAAGATCTGCAGAGATCAGTGACATGTTGAATTGAGTTAAGGACGAAATAATCTATCTAGAAGAACGAGTGCTTAAATAGGGAAGTAAAGATTCAATTTAGAAAGACAGACTTATTAAAAAGAACTGGCTTCAGCAGTATCTGCCTGCCTGTGTGAAAGCTTTTTTCTGTGCTTATTCTTGTCCAACTTTTTTAAAGCTCGAAACTTCATATGCTTAGTGAAGAAAGAACCAAGAGTCACTAAAATAAGCTCACTTATATTCATCTTCACATTTTATGTTTGCATATATCATGATATCTTAAATATAGTCTTCACTTTCCGCTTTTCTTAAATTCAATGCCATGTTGAGTAAATCCAAACATTTGTACACTCAGGCGAACAGGCTTCTGGAGAACTACGAGAAGTCCCTCATTAGGTTATCAGATGCTGTAGAGAAGGATCCTGCCCATGATGCGTCACATCAAGTGGAAATAACAGTTCAGCTTCTTGACAAATTAGAAGAATTAGTTCAGGTAAGATTATTTGATTGTGGTTATTTTATATGAAGCATCTGTAAGTGATATTCTGATCAGTTGCATTAGGAACGGCATGGTTGACGACATTAGAAATTTAGAATCATAAGGGAATTGTCTGTGATCAAAGGTTCATTGTTTCCAGTTATATTCAAAGTGCAGGCCAGTGATAACTATTTACAAGAGGTATTCAAGGAGTCGCACTCCTTGCGATTGCACATCTAACTTGTCAAACTCCCAACATGGCATAGTGCAGTGCTTTGATGTGTCCACACTTACCTATGGAACTCTAACCTGTTTAAACGATGATCTCATCACCACGTAAAGCTTTCTGTTTCCTGATATAACATAATGTATGATGAGGTAGTCCTTTTGGTAACATTGTACTAATGATAGCTAGGGGGACAGATGTAACACGAAATTTGATTTTATGGTATGACAGGAAAACACCAAAAAATAGTCATGCTTTCTAAAATTGACTTAATGTGTAAGTTTGAAGTGCAGTTGATTGATTGATTTTTGGAATATTGCTAAACAAGTAGAGGCTCGGGAATTGCAATAGGAAGCTACGATTATGTGGAATTAAGAGCTATTTGGATAGGAATATTCAAGTTGGTAATACAATTGATCAACTTGGTAACTATCCTATGGCTGCCCCAGAAAGCTCGGTTCAGTTTCTCCTACTTTTTCTGAATTCTTCACTTACTACTACATATAAATAATATTAACAAAGAGTAAAGGAAAATTTATTACTACATACAAAATAGTTGCAGAAGGTCTCAAGGAGGTATCCATTTGGAAAAAATTTCTAACTGTTAAGCATAAGACATATCTAGAAGAAAACAAGATGAGGTAATGAAACATGGTGCCTTCTTCTGCTTTCATTTCTTGATTTTTTTTCAAGAAACATGAATGTTATGATATAGTCTTCTAAAAAATAATGCCTTAGATTCTTAGTTTTTAAATGTTTTCTTCTTTTGAGTCGTTAAGAGATTATGAATGACATTGTGAAGGATGCATTTAAATTATGTGATCCTGCTTTTCAGGGTAAGAGTAATGAAAATAGAAAGGGGAAGAGTAAGGCAAAGAGTAAAGGAAAGGGCAAGAGAAAGAGTAAGGGAAAGAGTACGGAGACAAGCTTTGCTTCCCTGATCCAGTCACTTGATGATATTGATTGTAAGGCTTTACATTATTCATAATTTAACTATAAACATTGATTTATCTATTTATCTATTTAGTTGAGGTAATGTGTTTTCTGGCAGTGGATCCTTCCTACAACAAAGCAACCTTGGATGTCTTAGCTGAAGGCCCTAACAAAGGGCTTGCAGTTATGGGAGTAGTCCGGTGCTTGGTTAAGTATGAGTATGGTGTTCCATTGTAAGTTGCTTCATCTAGAAGAATCAATGATCATTTTGAGAATTTCTTTTAAAAGTGGGAAGTTACTAGGCTGAGCAGCCCTAGTTTAAGCTTAAATACTTATTTCTCAATGTGTACTCTCATTCAAACAGATACTATGTGCTCTGTGACTCTGATGGGAACAGTTTTGTCCTTCTAGTGTTTGGGATACAGGAAGAAGCGGTAAGCACTACATTATGTTGTTTTAATGTTTCTTGGTACATCTGTTGAAATCTTAATTCCTAGAAAAAAGTTGTCTGGTAAAGTAGAGTATCTTGGAGAAACCAAGATAAGTAAATCAACAGATAAGTTTGCTGCTATACTGTTGCAGCAGTAACATGCCTAAAAAATAAGCGAAGGATTTTGCACTTCCTAGATGAAAAACTAGTTTAAAGGGAACCTCTCTTCTTTAATACTGTATGTAATTAAAGAAGATTACATTTGCCACTTCATAAGTGAGCCTGAATATCATCTCTTTATATATGTATCTGATTTTGGTTTGTGTCAGCCCCACCCAATTATTATCTAGTGAATAAATGTCATATCTTTGAATATTTATCTTACTTCAGATTATTGTGGTGACATATAGCCTACCATATTCCTATACTAAAATGCAATAAGCAAATAGTAAGGTAACATAACTAAAGGTTTTCTAGGAAAGGCATGGTCTATGAATTATTGATTGTGGAAGGAGAAAAAGGAAAGAAATGAAAAATGACACAAGAACTATGAGTCATGACAGTCATGGTTAACATCAACTCATCATAGAGTGAGTTTCTGTAAGTATTGGCTATCCAGCTCCCCATTAGACTTTCACATCATTACTTAACGAACTACTCTTGTTGACAGATTAAACAAGGAGATCAGGTCACACTATTGGAGCCCTTTTGCAAATTTGTTGATTTTAAATGGAAGGAAAAGGTAAACTCATTATATAATATCTGTGGTATTTCACATCCAATGCTATTCCAAATATGCCATATTGCTTTCTCCATCATTTTCTCCTTTTCTTGATTGTGACTGATTGGAAAGGTTTAGTGCTAGAAGAACAATATTCCATACACTAATCTGTCAGCCAAGTTTTGTCAGTCCTTACTAATAATTGTTATTTTTACTGCAGCACTATCAATTCCAATCTGTGCGAGTCAATAATGTGGAACAAGTCCTTGTAAATGGAAAGACTGTATCTTCTGATTTTGCTATATAACCAATACCAATGTAGTCATAAACTCTACTGTGTGTAAGCTACCGTGGGATTCGAGGAAACAAATAGTTTACTGCTTGTCTACTACATGCAATTAGCAGGTGTTACAACTTGATATGAGATTAAACTCTACTGTGTGTAAGCTGCCGTGGGATTCGAGGAAACAAATACTTAACTGCTTGTCTACTACATGCAATTAGCAGGTGTTACAACTTGATATGAGATTATACTCTACTGCCCATATATGAAGGTAATAGTCATGTGTTCTACATGTGAATTTGCGTATTACGTATATTATGTCACATTGGACTCATGTGTTTACTTGTTCAATTTTATGCAAGTTTAAGTGTCTGAGGCCAAGTTAAAAGGTATATTTATGTATTATGCCATACATACATATGATCTTTTAACTTACGTCTACTCACATTTATGCCCTCCAACTTTGAGCTTGCAAAAGAAGACACTTAAACTTGTATAAAGTTGAACAAATAGGCAAGGCATTCTATTAGCAATCCTATAGCCTATAAGAGTCATCTTAAAAACAAGTTACGGTGATAGTCAGACAAAATCAGTGACTTGTTGTGTAGAAATTCAACATCATATTTTTACATTCAAATCTTGCTACTATATACCATTATCCACAAATCAAACAGAAACAATGACAATAATATTCCTCAATTAATACTACTAGAAATTGCTACCTAGTCAATCCCACGAAATCTTCAAAGAAACTAAACTTTCCCGGTACAAAGCCTTATTTGCCACAAAAGGTGGAACTTGTATAGACTTAAACTCAGTATATTCATTTTTCCGCAGATCATACTCAATAAAAGAACCATTATGCCTTCTCCATAGTATGTTCCCATTCTCCTTAACAAATAGGAAGGCACCTACTGGGCGGTATTTAATACCTCTAATCGGTAAATATAATATAGGCATTCCAATGAGTGAGAGTAAAGTAGGAAACTTGTTGATACAATTCCACCTATCTTTCTCCAGCGACCAAATCAAATTTTCCTCGCCAACCGTTGTGAAAACACAGACGCCATCACCCAATACATGTAATGTCGGCTGTTTCCCACATGTTTTTGGCACTACTGTTACAGTAAATTTTTCGTCTACTAGATGGAAAGATATAACTGCCCTGTTGTATGACATCCTGTGAATGACACCGTTTAATGAAACTTGATTACTGCATAGGTACTGGTTATAAGAATCAGGGGAAACAGGAAAAGTATTGTGAATTGCTCTCCAACATTGATTTTTAACCGAGTATACTTCAACAACGTTGAAGTATTTGTTTATCAAGTAATGTACACATATAACCTTGTAATCTTCAGCCACAAAATCATAGGCAAAACCAAATATTGGAGATGTGGAACAACGATTTGTCTTTGTGTTTTGACTGAAAAGAGAATTTTGAATGAGTTTGTATTTTCCAACCACAGGATTGAATAATGTCATACAATAGCCAAGATCGTATGACGTCATAAAGATCAAGCCACTGCATGAAAACACTTGTAATGAAAAATAGTCACTAAAGTATTCTGGGATATTCAGATACACAACTTTTGAATCAGCATTAATTGATGCTTCCGTTGACACAATTTTAAATTTGCGTGTTCCTTCTCTATGTTGAAGGATTGAATTAACCAAGACAATTTTTTTACGACTAATATCGATAGACGATTTATGTAGATGTGACTTGATGAAGTCGGCGTCATCGATACAACCATACCATGATTTGCAACAACTTTTGAATCGTGTAAGAGATTTCACAGGAAGCTTAAAGAAGATGGAGTTGACAATATCTCCAGGCAAATGGGGGAGGCCATCCATGTTGGTGATAGGTATTTTTTTGTTTCTACGCTATATAATAGTACAATTTAAACAAACCTAATTCAACGCTAATTCTACTCCAAGTAGTAGAAGGTAAGTTGGACTCTACAATTAAATTATGAGCTTGTTTACCAAAAATATTAAGTATTCCAAATTATATTATGAGCTTGTTTACCAAAAATACATTTTATTTTCCATTGCTCGGTTATTAATTCATATTCTACTTCAGTAATATAATAAAATTGACAAGTTCCGTAGTTGATCCCTTGTTCATTTTGAGAACAAGAAACTCTCTAAACAACTAATTAACGTAATAAAATTATGAACAGCGACCAATTGATTTTAATAAGCAAATATCCCAAATAAGAGTGAGATACTGTAATTTTTTTTATTATTACAAGTCAACTATAAACTAGGAGCATGCATGTATATTTAGAGTATGTCAAATTGAAATTAGAAGTGATTTTGCTTATGATTGTTTGTATTACAAACAATCAACGAAGAATAATAGTATTATATTTTAGCGATTTAGGTTAAATAAAAAGCATATAGTTCTTATATACTTTTCATAAGCGAAAAGCCTCAATTGAACTAAAATTTGAACAAATTGTTTAATTAGTCATTGATCAAATGGCTGCTCATTTTTCATGAATTCATTAATCACATTTAATTAGACACTCTCATTATATACTCATCACCCTATTGCAATTTTTTGTTTTACATCTTGCAAAATTATATATGGTACTGTGATTAGCATCAAATTTAATTACAAGAGAAATTTACTTCGTTTATTTCTGAGAAGGAAAATCACTCTTCATGTACATACAATCGGATAAATATGTTTCATGTTGAATCACTTTTTCCAACTTTTCAATTCTACTTCGACATAGTGAACTAATGAAATGGTTTATGGAGGGCATAATATATAAATATATTTAAACTTGTATAAAATTGAATAGATAGATACACGTGTCCTACATGACATAATACATGTAGGACACACAATTGCCATGTAGGGTGTCATGTAGGATGAATGTGTCCATTTGCTCAATTTTATACAACTTTAAGTGTACATGTGCAAACTCAAAATTAAAGGTTATAATTGTCAGTCGGCAAGTTAAAGATCATGTTTATGTATTATGTCTTTATGGAGAGATACTATAGTTTTGGAAGGCCGTAAATGTCCATTAACATTTTATTCTATTTACTATAAGCATGAATTAGTACTCATTCATAGAGTTTAGTCAAAAGTTGTAAATTGTTTACTGCCATAAACTTAGCTTGTAGAATTATTTTATTTTAGTTTACAAGGTAATTTAGTATAATATGATTTGAAAGGTATTTTCGTAATTCAACTAATGAAGCGCGTTGGTACCTTTATTTTTTCTTAAAATACTACTTATTATACCTTACATTTCATTCTTGACCAAAACAAAGCAAGAAGAATATCAATGACAAATAACTAACAATCATATATCTTGCTATCTTTAGCGTATGGAGGATATATATGTCAACCAACATGTGAGTAGAGAAGTGAAAGCCAGATGTCCCACAAAATATAAAAGATAGAAAAATATTCATATTATCATACACTTGTCAACATGAAAGGCTAAATTAAATCATTGATAATACAATTCATATATGACTTTTGTACAATAGATTATTATAGTATTCGTACCTCCTATAAATAAAAAATATAAAAGTGGGACACGGAGATTTCTTCAAATACTAGTAAATATGAGACTCTAAGGTTAAAACTTAAAACATTAAACGTGAAAATGTGCATCTTAACTAAACTAAGGTCCTATTACCCCCTAACCCTTTTTTTTTGTAATTTTGTGCATCTTTTTGGCTTACGTGGCATCCAAATATATCCCACGTGCCTCAATTGCGTGGAGTCACGGAGTGTGCCACATAAGACAAAAGGTGTACAAAATTACAAAAAAATAAGTTCAGGGATAATAAGACCTTAGTTTAGTTAAAGCGTGTCTCTGAAATTTCGATCATAATCTAGGAATACTTGTGCCTTATCCCTTTTAGTTTTTAGAAAGTATAAATGAGTAGGTTAAAGTAAGATACAAAATGATAATGGATTGTTGGTATTACTAACTAAAGTTGAATAAACAAATTGTGTGTAAAGTGTTTCTCTCCTAAGAAATAAAATGAATGATCATAATGACATGACACCATCGACGATAGATCGATGTTTAGACACTAGATCTTGTAGTCGTTGCAGCAATAAATCGAAATCATCTCTGCTATTCACAAGACTAAGACGAACATAACGATTTTCAACTCCAAATGCAGCGCCTTTTCGACCAATAATATCTGCTTTCCTCAGCACGTTGTGACACTCTTCATCTTCTTCCGCTTCACATTTTAACCACGCAAAAGCTGCGTAAAAAAAAAACATGAAAAAAATTGATAAGTATATTGAATTTCACTTAACTTGTTGTTGATGCTTAAGTACTAATTAACTATAGCTACCTGGAGAAGGTGGCCTAACTTGTTTTGAAAATGCACAATGTTGGGAGGGAAGTTGTTCAATTGAGAATCGTTTTGAAGTAGACAAGATCTCCGCGAGCTTTTCCCATCTAGTCTTCATAATTGTATGTGCAAATCGAAACATTTCTCTTCTATCTCCTTGTAACACAACGTTTAAGAGTTTTAAAGCTCTCAATTGAGTTTCACGCGGAACACCATAAGTGTTTAAATCTATGTATTCCACCATTCTATCGTACACATCTTTGTCTTTGACTATAGCCCATCTATATGTATATCAAAGGAAATTAATTAATTAATTAATTTAACTCGTAATATATCGTTATGAATGAGTAAGTAAGAGTTGTTGATTAAGTACCCAAATCTGCTACCGGCATGACCAGTGAGCTTTGAAAGTGTAAATAACATGACATCTTCATCCATAGGGCTTGGAATCGCGGTGTAATGTGGCCAATAGTAAGCTAAATCGTAAACATGCCTTGCAAATTTTCCTTGAAGGACTGCCTTGTTTAAGTGCCCATCTGGATTGTTTGGACATGTCACAAACTCAATGAAATTCGTACTAGTACTAGTACTCCTTGTTTTGTTTTTCCACGAGGATGTATCTCCACTAAACTTATACTTCTTCGAATCCAATAGCTCTGTTTGTGATTTGTAAACAG